CTGATATAACGTTTTTGTTTGCCGCCTTTGGACAGCTCATCGATCACGATCTCACTCTCACCGCAGAAACCAAAGGTATATTTCACGATTTAAATGTACTCGCAATAATCTCAGAAATTTGYGGATCGTATAAATAAATAAAATATGTTTAACAATAATATCGAAATATACTACAGACCCGATAACCAGACAAGAGATCAAGTGTTGTTCGGGAGCCAACAATCCGTATTGTATACCAATCAATGTGCCGATCGATGATCAGTTTTTTGTGGGCAGTCATCGTCAGAGATGCATCGATATGATAAGATCGCTGGCCGGTGTCAATACTGATTGTCCTCTAGGTAATCGATTTACTATAATAAACAATAGTATAMTGAATAGGGCCCAGATTACAATGCAAAGTGCATAATTTTTTGTTTGATCTTAAACAATGCTTTCTAAGTGCATAATTCGTTTTATGTAACGAGTGTTTCAAATCTAAACATTTTTTTTTTGCATTTTTTTTGCATACTACGGTGTTTTTAGTTTTTAGAGCATTATTATTATTATTTGGTCATTTTTATGATTTTTAATGCATATTTGTTCAAAATACTATACAAAGTTAGTGTATCTATTAATGTAAATTAAAGTATTTATGTTTAGAATGAATATATTAACCCAAAACATATGCGTGTCGGATAATATCATAGCATCATCAAGTCAATTTTTAAAAAATTTTTTTTTTTAATAAAATAATGAATAATAAATATATTTTATTTATTAATTCCAAATCAAAATATAAAATTGTATACAAAATTATTATAAAGGTCATTTTAAGGTCATTTTAATAGTAAAATTMATTTTTTAAAGRACATTTTTGGCTATTTCTTAGARCATATTTGTATGGTTTTAAATGCATTTAAATCCGGGTGCTATAATAATGAATAATAACTGTGGACAGGGAGTTGTATAGGAGCTTGCGTTTTCTTTAATGATCCATGTTCTAAACATAATAAAGGAGTTAGTTATAAATTTTTTCCCCGTATTTCGCATAATATTTAAACTATTTTCTCTTGTTGGCGCATATTTTGTTATATTATGCACTTTCAGTGCTTATTTTTCATTTAATTATTTTATAAAACAAAATAACTAAATAGGTATATATGAAAGAATAATTAATTATTCAATGATCCATTATTTTTAGTTGAAATTATATGAACCACTGATATTATTTTATCCATAGTTATACATTGATTCTTCTACGGGTCACTGGATACTATTTAGTCGATCAKCGCTAGTCAGTTAATCCGTCAATGTTATGTTCTTTAATCTTAATGATCAAAAGTTATTGCTTAGATTAAGTGTTGATAGTGTTATAAGTTATCACTGTACATCGTTCTATTTTTCCGCAACTTGAGATAAAATTTAAAATTTAAAGTTAGAACAACATACCTGTTATAGTGGTACATTTTTTCCCCATATATTATATAGATATCAAAGATGTCAAATATTTCGGTGTTTAATGCATATTTTATGAGCATGTTTAGGGCATAAAAAATGCATATTAAAATGTTTTTTAGGGCATAACAATAGTACTTAGCGTTTTAGTAATTTTCAGTGTTCTTTCGTATCTCACGGACGATGTGGAATACGGACCTATATTATACAAAATATGTATAACCTATTTCTGTATCTATTATATTATTACTTTCTACACCAAGACCAAGGAAACTTGATGCGAATCATATTATGATATACCAATATACACCKCGCATGTATTTGTAAATAATACGTTAGTATAGCTAGCGTACTCTAATGAAGATGGCTGCTCTATTTTCAATTACGTTATTTTTCCGCACTATACATAGGGATACAACTTGTTATTGAACTAATGTTTCCCTACATAAAACTACAAAATAAAAGGACGTCAATTATTATCGCGTGAATTTAAAACGAGCTCAGCTGAAGTCTGTAGTGTGGTTATTTCTCTCTTTCGATATATTAATTGACTGCAACTTTATTATATTGATTGACCGAAAACACATCTAATAAATATCAATAATTTACGGCGCACGCAAAAAAGGTGAATTCAGATACTTTTTTTATGTAGCGTATCTATACTTTTAATATACAGTCGTATTTTATGTTAATATGATAATTGTTATTTATTCGACAAATGGGACAAACCCGACAGAAATGGGTGACAAATTTAATTTTATGGACACAAAATTAGGATGYATATCGAAATTTGTTTGATTCCAAAGCCATCGTCCGTCTAGAAACGGATAACCTAGGTCCTAGTGGATGGTTCGAAAGAGATGAAGTCGTGGATCGACACCATTATCGACACACACTCACATCTGTATATATAGGTTTTGTTTTGTGTGGGTGGGTGCGTGAGGGAATCGAGGTATCACCTTACCTATAATTTTCATCAAATAAAACATTATTATTTTTATTTTCCTCCATATTTTATTTTCCACTAAAAATCGCCATAAATATATATAATATGCTCATACACGTTACACAAATTTAGGATTTTTGTTGTTAGGCAAATCGTTAAGAAACCATAAATATTTAGAAATTATAAATWAAATTAATTTTTTTTTTCAAGAATAAATTAAATGTTAATCATACCGACTTTCAAGCATCTATAATGATTACGATGTGCCGGTTGTAAATAATTTGAGAAACACTGATTTTGGTGAAACCTATTTTCGACACTGATAACTCAACACAGGCCTCTGAAAATTTGTCAATTTGTCATTTTAAAATATTCGGTACAATACTTGCTTCTATGATTGGGTGTAAATTAAAGATAGGTTAGGCTAGTTTACATTATATAGGTTACCGCTCATCCTATTTAATTTGAATTTTTCACTATCAGCTGTTATTGTTGCCTTAGGCAACAGCCTACTGAAGTGGTTATATCTATCCGCCGTCGCTTATATATGATTTAAAGAATAGACAAACATAATATTATTATACATACATCACTCTTCGTGTACCTTTTGATACCTATCTATATTATGATATTTAATTCATTGTCACCTCAATGAAAAATAAAATAGTATGCTAAGCCGAGAGTTTGCCTGTTTTTTAGCAGGCACAGATAAAATCGTAGGTAACGTAAGAGCGATTTCAATAACCAACAATCCAAACAAGAGCGATTATAAAATGTTCGAATTAGTTAATATTACTCGTATAGTACCTTTAACATAACTATAAAATCTATACATGCGTATTGCGTATAAATCCGTATAATAATAATATCTTTTTTATTGAGAAAAGTGGAAAGCAAACACAATAAATAGGTACGTTTAATTTAAACATTTCAATTTTTAATAGATACTGATTTTTTTGTTCATAAGTTTTGCAAATGAGAAATAAAGTAATATTTAATAATGGGAAAAGTATTCAGTTGATGATAGTTGATGGATACAAGACGTATAGATTAAAACTGTCAAATAATAAAATAAATTATATTATCTTTTATATTATCAACAACGTTAAAATATAGTTTTGTTAAAAATACATGTACAGTAGAAAAAATCGAGTTGAAGTATGACCTGTGGTAATTCTATAATAATTTTACCTGGTATGTTATTTAATTTTAATTTTGTATAATAAAATCACGCGTGCATATATTTTAAATTGCCAACAACGGAATTAATTAATAATTTTGGAAAATATTTTAAAAAACAACCAAATGCGAAAATTRTTTAAATTAATATTTAAAGTCATGGTAGCAATAATTCTGATATTCCCTAAAGTAATTATGCTGACTAGTAATAATATTGCGTAGGTCATTTAAAACAATGCAGTTTCAATTCAAAGTAAACTATAATATATATTCTTAAATATCAAATTCCTATAGAAACAATACCAAATTTTTTTTTCTTACTACCTGTACAAAATAAATTGATACCATATGTAATACATATTATGTATGTATTAGACAATAATACTCCTATAATACAATATTAGAGCCATGACATACCTCACAATTTTTTTTGTCTTCATATTGTTAATATTATAAAAATATAAAGATTTGACAAAAAAAAAATTTTCTTTAGACCTCATTTATTTATTACTTATTAATCTTCCGTACTCCAATAGAAATTACTCGCCGACCCCGCCTGTATTGTACAGATATATTATATTTGATAGGTTCTCTCACTACCCGTGTATACCCTTCGGTAATAATATTCCAAGCCATACAAAGGAACGGACTAAGCGAACTGAAATTGACTGGCGGTGATGATCTTAGGGTAAAAAGAAAAGASTCACCCGCGGCGTTCAAACGGGCAACGCCCGCTAAAACCAATACCCATATTGCACCATAACGGGCGCCAACACCACCACCGAAACGGCGGGCCGCGRGTGGTGCGAACCGCGATTAGCAACCCTCGCGAGGCCGCCGACTGAGACCCTGGTACCGGAGACCTTTTCGCAGGGTTCGACCGTCGGCGGCGGCGACACCGAACAGCCCCCGGCACCCGTCTGCGCATGGAACCCTGTTGCCGACGGGCGGATGCAGTCCCTTTTGGCGAGTGCGCGGCCGCGACGGACCCTTATTTGGCAGCGCGGGTCACTGTCGCGGTTAACGACACGCGATGACGTGCAGCCGCGGTGAATTCGCCGAACCGACCCCGCGACTGCGACCCTAGTCGGCCAAGACGCCCTTTCGGCGGTGTTTTGCGATGGTGCAACATTTAACGTTTCTCTCGCGTTTCTTAAACACGCAAACGCAAACGGGCGCGCGCGCACGCACAACGCAAGACGGCGCGCAGACGTTGCCGACTGCGCGCGCCCCGTCGTTGTCGTCGGCTTCGTTATTAATTTTCCGGTCCGATAGATTTTATTTACGCTTTTTTCGCGCCCCTCCGTGACGTCACCGCCTTTTACTCTGTAGCGCGCCGACGGACGAGGGAGCGAGAACGTGTGAGAGGGTGCGATTGAGGGACAGGAAGAGCGAACGAGAGAAGAGAGGACGAGAGACCGAGAATTCGAGTGAGAGAGCGCGAGGCGGTGGAAGCGAGAACGATCGAGGACGCCCCCTCACCCATCCGCTCGCCGACCGAACCCCTGCGAAGAGAACAAATCGGGTTTTTTTCCACCACCACCCCCTCCCCAACGCCTGATAAGCAAAGGGATTGGCAATCGTACGCGGTCCCGTCGAGCAGCGCCTCCGGTCGTTAATCGTTTCGTCCGTCGTTCCACAATAATAGTACGGTGAATCGTAATAAAATCGTACCACCTGCGCATTATATACACTCGTCGAATGTACGAGAATATTGTATTATTATTAGTACTATTATTATTATTCGACGCGCCTAGATGAGGTTATTATAATAATACCTACCCATAAAACGATTATTTTAGTGTATTATTATGTTTTCTCTGACCAGATCAAAATACTAATATTAAATTCTGTAAAAATTAAGTAAACGATAATATGTATTTTGAAACGCCAATAACCCCGGTAGTTGAGGCGTATTTGTTAAATAATATTTWAAAAAAAAGCTTATAGGTATTAAATAGAATATGTATTAGTCGAAAAAATTATGCGCTATATTTGGGTTTAAAATAGTATAAATATCATTCTATGTGGATATCATAAATGAATTAATGCATAATATGTCATGTCGGTTTGTGAATATTGGTCACAATATTATTATTGTGATTAAATCGGTTGAATGTTATGAGAATATTGAATAAAAACAATAAAAATTAGACTCTAAATTTTACTGTCTCAGTTGTCCATTCTTACGTGATTCTTGAAATTATATATTATYATAGACTATACGAAGTGATTAGTTTAATGTAAGCACTCCAGCACTCGTAAAATTTCGGAAAACAATAACGTTTTTAAAATATTTCTTTTACATGATTTTAATTATAATTATAACATAACATTTTATTTTTACTATTTTTTGTAATTTTAAGATTTTATTCTTTTAAATGAAAACGTACGTACATTTTTAATTTCACATATWATTCCTAAGCAGAATTTTATTCCAAATATTTCGACCTATATTCAAACAGAATTTGGACAAGTATAGTTTTGTTAGTTGTGAGTATTTAAAGTTTAGACAAGCTAAGTATAACTATGTAATATAGTTCCAAACATGACTAAATAAATATAGGTGTGATCACAACTTTGGGATACCATACTATCTCACCCTTGCTTTTTCTATCTCAAGGTTCTCCGTTTCTATTTTATTCTATGATTCTATTAACGTCGCCGACCAATGAAATGCGGAGAACTATACGAGCAATGGTTTTGCGTTTTTGTTTATAAAGTTTTAGGGATTTGCGCAAACCGGACGAAAACTGTTTTTTTTTTTTTGTAATAATACCTATTTATTTATTCATATGGTTCCCAAATACCGTAAATTCTGAGATCGCCTACCGCTCTTATGTCAACATTGTCAACTAATGGGTATGTCGCACCTAACGTTATAATATTAAATTTCCAAACAAAGTTCTCAATGTCAAAATATTATCTAAAACACATTTGCAATAGGTACACTTGGTATTCTTATTATTGTTTTTACAGCCAATATATAGGTACGTGTTATGATACAATTAAATAGGACATGAAAATATATTGTTTCGTACCTATATATATATAATTATTTCGTTCGCTTAATTTTAACGTAAATACAGAAATGAAAATACTTTAATTTAGAAACCTWTCGAATTTTAGAAAAATTTTTTTTTCCAAAATGTGTGTTTTAGTGTGCTTTATAAGAATGTACGAAGCTCGCTCAAATAGCTATCCTGGTGGGGGGAGGGAGGGGCGATCCCTTAGGGGTCGTGGTGGCGGAGAGTATGCCTTACGGATGACCTAACAAGTAACTTGAACTTTGTTATTTAAAGTAACACAAGTATAGTCGCTCCGGTTTTCAACTCAAGGACAATTTATGAGAAAATGTAATACAGGTAAACAGGAAGTTACAGTTTTATTAAAAAATTGAAAGTTATTAATTWAAAAAAAATCATCTTCCTCGTCGTCTGAACCCGAATCAGAATTATTTAGTGTTGTTTCTGTGTCTAAAGTTGGTTCATTTGGATCATACACTTGTGCTGCAAGTTTGTAAAATTCAACTAAAGGGTTTAGGCCCGAAGAACGGCATCCCTTTAAGAACATATATCTGGCCAAATATCCTGCACAAAAATGTTTTTTCCTCGAATACTGTGTCATGAAAGATTTGGCATGACGCCACATTCCTTCGACGTTATTGGAGTGTGCGTCACTTTCCAGGTTCTTAAATTCGATGGAATGGTTTACCGTCAAATGACAAAAAACACCTAACCCCTCGTCATTTAAACAGTTATAACACTAAAAACATTGAACTCATTTAAAYTTAACACAGTTGAGTTAAATCAATTCACGAACTTACCTTCCAGTAATCACTGATTTTTAATGTTCCTGGCAAAATCCAATCCTTAATTATGGCTAGTAATGTGTCTTTATCACGTTTTTCTACCGGAACGAGAAAACACTGACCCGTTTCGCGTTCAATTCCACCAAACACCCACT